CTCCAAATGCAGATATAAACATGTAAAATCACCTGCTAACTTACCTAATTCAGGTTTATCAAGCAGACTTATCAAAATGCGAAAGGGCTTCTGATGTGCTTGAGGTCCATGTTCCTGATCTGGCTCAGGATTCACTTGCTGCAAAGTTCTTATCAGTGCCTGTAGACAAAAGCAGACTGCTTCTAAAGGACAACAAACAATTCCTCCTTCGTAATACATTTTCAAGGGCAACTGTAACAGTGATGATTAACTAAAGTTACAGTCCTTGAAGGACTCAAATTAAACACCCCCACCACCCCCCCCCCCAAAAAAAACACTGAATGAGGAAAAATGGAAGATACACGCATGTCCCTTTCACTGGCATCAACGAGAGGTAACTATCTCTTTGATATTTCTTTTGCAAGGGAGAGAGACACAGTCAAATGTCACTATTTCCCTTTTATTGCAAGGTGACACCTACATTTCCCTTAAGTTTGAGGGGAGATTGTAATCCAGAGGCGTGGAATAACGCTCCAAGGACACAAACTCAAATCCTACCACAGTACCTGGCAGAACTTAAATTCAATAAATAAAATGGAAAATAAAGTTCATCTCATTAATGGTGACTAAGACAACTACCATTGATCATTGCCATAACCCATCTGGCTCACAAATGTCTTTTCAGGAAGGAAATCTGTTATCCTTACTTGATCTGGCCTACACGTGGTCAACTCTGAACTGCTCTCAGAAAAGCCATTCAGTTCAAGGGACTTAGGGGTAGGCAACAAATGCTGACTTTTCCAGTAACATCCTCATCCCATCGGACTACAGGAAAAAAAATGCTGTATTCCCACAAAACACACGCTACTGTGAAGATTATTCTACTGTATATATAACATTATAACTGTGCAAGTACTGTATTAGTACATCAAAAAATGGACACAGTATTATGAAAATAAAAATTAAATATTTCTGTTGAAGAATTGCTGGTTTATTTTTCGTAGCTTAGCAAAAGTGATTCTAAAACAAATTTACTGACACGGTTTACCAAATAGCATTCACATTGGAGTCATGGTATTTTGTAACTTTGTGCAGATGAAGTGTGAACGCAAATTTGACAACATCACACGAAGAATGATATTTTTCAACTGTACTTACTCGAACCAACAAGTCCTTGGAATGTTTCTCAAAATAAGTCTTGGCACAACCTTCAGAAGAGAAGTCTGCATCTGCAGTCATATGGCCTCCTTTGATATCAGTCCCTGAAAGGTTCAGTGAATCATTTTTATAAATGGCAACAGAACATACTTAGGCACAAGGAATTAAATCATAGCTTAATTGTCAGATTGTAATTACAGAGATATGTGGAAAACATTCTTTGTAGTCAATAACATACTGAACAACCACAAAGCTGTTTGTGAAAAAGCACATTGAAGTATTTTGAAAACTGCATTCCAAAAATATCTGGTGTTGATAATCTTAGTTTTAGATTGGTTTATATGTACTTTTCTCATACAAAAGGTGAGCAATCCATAAGGCCAGTAGTAACATGTACATATTAACGGGTAAATTGCTTATTGAACAAAAGATTAAGATTATGTTCAATAGGGGGAAGTTTCAGAAGAATGCATAATTTACTGAAGTAATTATTGATACAAAAGAAAACTAGATTGGAATTTTTAAATTATGTTCTAAGGGTCCACCCCAGCACCCACTTGTACTCCCTCATCTCCCCAGGTCTCTCAGTATTCAATGTCCACCACAATGTGAGAGTTGTGAAGAACTAATTTAAATCTCCCCTTTGTATTTTAATTGCATGCGAAGTTTCCACACAATGTTTCCCTGAATTGTCCAGAGTCCAATCCCTGCGTGAAATCAAAACTCCAATTTTTTTTTCCTCCTCAGATAAGGAACCAAGAGTCTGTCATGACTTTACTGGATGAGGGAGGGCATTTAAAGGAATGTGCGGGATGAGGATAAAAGGAGCTTTATACCGAGCTGTGGGACGGATTCCATTGGAAATGATTGAACCCCGGCCACCGTACTCAGCCACATCCTCTCCTTGAAGGAGAGTGTAGCTACAGGCAGGTTTCCCAGCCTTCCACAGACACAAAATCCATCAACTAGAACTGCAGGACAGGTCCCAGAAACTTGGATAACCAAACGCAGGAGGGCTACAGAACAAACTCGGTACTTTTGAAGATAGCCAAGAGTTCATACATCTTTCATGCTTTCAAGACTTTTCCAATGTCTTCTTTCACTCAACAGTACACCATTTGTCAGGAACAACAACCATATTACATAATGGCCACTTACCAGGCGATGGCCTAGAGGTATTATCACTGGACTATTAATCCAGAGACCCAGGTAACACAGCACAATGATTTTTAAGATTTTCAAGTTTCTTTTGGAGACCAAACATACCCAAGAGCCACGCATACAGACGTCTGTTCAGGGACATGTCTCTTCTCAGTACAGTGTGCAGAGCCGCAGAGAGAACAAGTACCATGTCTCCCCTCGTCATTGGGACGACACAATTATTGGGATCCTTGCATAAAAAGAAACATAACCATCAATTGCAAATGTCTGTGTGAAAAAAAAAATGCAGAGTATCAGTCAAATGGTTCTTAACTGGAGGCCATTTTATTGTTGCACTTCCAAAACATTGTTAATTCATAAGTAAATGCTCTGAAAAACTTGACCGTTGATTACAAATGAGTGAGCTGAACAGCATGTTGTACCCTCTGAACATTCTAAAGTGCTTCTTAATTCACAGGCAATCCTTCAGAAAGGAGTTCCTTGCTGTCCATTAAGTGAATGTGCAACTAATCTGTCACAAATTAATCCCACAAACCGTAAATGGTTGAATTCATGGAATCACCAGGTGATTTTTGTTTTGATTGCACTGGTCAGCAAAGGAATGTTGATCAGAGTGCTTGAGGATGTTTTGTGTCCATCTGAACAAGCAAACAAAGCCTCTGCTTAGACATTTCATCTGAAAAATTGCACCAACGACAAGGGGGGCATCAACTCAGTAATAAGCAGTCTAAATCCACTTTGGAACCAGAACCACAAATTCTTACTTCAAAAAGGTGGTTGTACAATCAACTGAGGCAAGTAAACTCCAATTCTCAGGATTTGCTTTCAAAGAATTTCTCAATTCAGAAGGCTCACATTTATATAGTGCTTTTCAAGACTACCAGATGTCTCCAAATGCTTAATAGCCAAGGAAGCATTTTGGAACTAGTTTCGGAGACACTTCTTGAAGTGTTGTAACACAGCAGTCAATTAACACTCTGCAAATCCCCACAAACAGCAATGTGATAATGACTTTAAGATATTGACTGAGGGAAGAATTTGGCCAGAACACCAAGAATAGATTCTTTGCTAGTCCTCAAAATAAAGTCAAGTGATCTTTCACATCCAATCATGTAGGCAGATGGACCTCGGTTTCATTTGTCATCTGGCTACAGTACATTCACTTCTTTCCTCCAGTTATTAATGTATATTGTAAAACAATTGCAGACCGACCACTGATCCCACTGGTCGCACATCGCCAACTTGAGAAAGAAGCCTTCGTCCCCACTCAGTGCTTCCTGTCTAATAGCCAATTCTTTGTCCTCTCTGATATACTACCAAAGTTCCCAACCATTCCCACAGCTACTAAGATTAGGGTGATGCAGTAGATTGTATTCCACAGCATCATGGAGACCGTTGCCAGTCACTTCTCCTGCGAAGCATGGTAACTGTAGCTTGTAAATTAACCTGCTTTAGAATTCTTGGAAAGAAATCCCAGACCACAACTGAAATAAGCATTTAACAGATTTAAAAATAAAATGCCAAATACCTACCAGGTATGAGCAGAGAGGGAAAAAGTAGAACAGAATTTCTAAAGTGTTGCGCTGTACAAGAACATTAGAATCTTGCACTGAGGCACACAATGCTTTTACCTAGAAAACAAAAATATGATAGTGAACTCTCAACACAAAGGCAAGGTACTGCGAATGCTGGAAATTTGAAATAGGAGCAACAAAACATCAGAAATGCTCAACAATTCAGACAGCACCTGGCAGAGGAAGAAACAGGCCCAAGTTCTCTCAGAGCACCATTCTTTCGACTCATTCAATCATACATACAATCCCTACAGCCAGGTCATTCAGCCCACCTAGTCCATACTGACCCTCTCCCCCAGACCCATCCTCCTACCAATCCCTGTGACCCTGCATTTCCCATGGCCAGTTCACCTAACCTGCACATCCTTGGACTGTGGGAGGAAACCGGAGCACCCGGAGGAAACCCACGCAGACACAGGGAGAATGTGCAAACTCCACACAGACAGTCACCTGAGGGTGGAATCGAACCTGGGTCCCTGATGCTGTGAGGCAGCAGTGCTAACCACTGAGCCACCTTGCTGCCCTGTTCTCAACATTTTTTTGGACATTATTAATTTCACATGGGTAGGCATTGTTTCAAATCAGGGCCGTAACCTTCAGGAGATAAAGGCCCAGAGGCTGATTCCAGTCTTCAATAATTGAATCATTTTTACAGAAGCTGCCCAGTTTTTAATCTATTAATTTCCAGTTAGGTGCAGTGTTAACAATAGTGACCCCAGCTGCAGCATTATTGTTTGGTGCCAATTCCAACTAACTAGCTGAGCCAACTCAGATTCCTTTCCTAATGGAGAAAGGCACAGCCAAAAGAAGTGAGCGAAATAAAACCAGAAAAAAAAAACAACCAAAGAGCTAGACTGCACCTGCAGACTTACCGCAAGGCGAGGGTCTGTGCCAAACATGTACTTCTGCTCTCTCCTGAACACAGATCTATTTATATGGTTGACAACAAACAGCGAGGCTGGGAGGCGTATAGAAGGGCTGACTATGACACTGCCCCACAGAGCTCCATAGAAAACCTCCTGGCCGACCACCAGTATTAACTTCTGAAGCAAGACATCCGTTCTTCATTGAAGAGGGAGAGAAAAGAGAGAAAACCAAAGTGCTTAAAAAATGTTTGACTTCAACAAATTAAAATACCATCGCCACTCCGATTCCAAGTCGTTCTTGTGGAAAGAGGAAAAAAAAAACGAGTTGTTAGCTGAATGCTATAAATTGACCAATGCAGTAACCCCTTGCCCAAAAGCTACATCAGCAATTTTGTTTAAATATAATAAATTACCCTTCAATTTCTGGTTCAATTCTTTAAATTTGGATTTGGGGCTAGAGGGCGATATCAGGCAAGAAGGACAGCTAACAAAGTCTCCACAATTTTCACCATCGAGCCTCAATATATTTAGTCACTAAGCTGTTTGCAGCTCAGGGAGGTTGTCAATCAGCCCAATGTCTCTACACAGGTCACAGATCTGACTGCATTTTGCAGACCAGTGGGCCGAGGAGTGGCAGATGGAGATTCATTTAGATAAACGCGAGGTGTTGTGTTTTCCTCAGACAAACCAGGGCACGACTTGTATAGCTCACAGGAAGGACCTCGGGAGTACTATCAAACAGAGACCAAAGGGGTGCATGTACATAGCTCCTTGAAAGTGGCTTCACAGGTAGAGAGGGTGGTGACGGTGGTGTTTGGCACGCTTGCCTTCATCGGTCAGAGCATAGGAGTTGGGACGTCGTCGTGTTACGGCTGTCCAGGACATTGGTAAGACCACATTTGGAGTACCGCATACAATTCTGGTTGCACTGCTATAGGAAGGATTAAACTGGAAAGGATGCAAAGAAAGGATTTACAATGATGTTACCGAGACTGGAAGGGTTGAGTTATAAGAAGTGGCTGGATAGACTGGGGCTTTTTTCCCCTTAGGTCTAAGAGGCCGAGGGGCGATCTTATAGAGGTTTATAAAATTATGAGTCACAGATAAAGTGAATAGCCAAAGTTCCCCCACCCGCCCCTCCAAGAGAGGAGGAATCCAAAACTAGAAGGCAAAGGTTTAAGATGAGAGGGGAAAGATTTAAAAAGGGACCTGAGGGGCAACATTTTCACAGAGTGGTGTGTGTATATGGAACGAGCTGCCAGAGGAAGCAGTACAGGTGGGTGCAATAACAACATTTAAGACATTTGGAAAGGTACATGGATAGCAAAAGGTTTAGAAGGATATGGACCAAATGCAGGTAAGTAGGATTAGTTCAGTTTAGGAAAGCTGGTCAGCATGGAGAATTGGGCCAAAGGGCCTGTTTCCGTGCTGTATGACTCGATAATAGCCATGAAGGCAATGGGCGTGCAAGCGAATACTTAAATGCTGATCGAGTGTTATGAGCATATTTCTGTTTCAGCCAGTGTCCCAGATTCCCAGTACCTCTGGGTGAAAATAAAATCTCAGCTCTCCTCTTAGCCTCCCACCTCTTCACTTAAGTCGATGTTCCTTGGTTATTGACCCTTCTGCTAATGGAAGAAGTGTCTTCCCATACATGTCCTCCATAATAAAAGATGATGCAGTATCACAAATCAAATATCAGTGTTCTCTAGCTGTGAAGTAAAATTACTATAATCTCAGCCATCAGTGTAGGCATGAGATATTTTCAATGATCCTTTTAGATCATTGATCACTATATCCTGACCATGTGTCAATGTCATGTCAATCACTACACAGTATTTGTTCTGCATCTGGCTGATGTGTGGAATTGAACCTGATCATTTTACCTCTCAGTTCTAATGAGGTGAGATAATGAACAGGGATATGGGGCAGTGGGCCCCATTTCTTCTTTTCATGGCATTTCTTGGGAGAAACTTCATATCACAAGAGGAGAGGACCTATACAAAACCCATAGGAACACTTAAGGAATACTACCTAAGCGGTTCTTTGGAGTCACCCTTTATAACAGGACTTCAGTGTTCTGACAAATCTGTCAATTACAGATCCTTTCCACATTAAATAGGATTCCATAACTTTATATCTAAACGTTGTGCGTCAAACTCAACTTTCCTATTCTGTAATACCTGCTTAGTGCATCACAAATCATACGTAAAAAGATTTGCTGGCACAAAATATTGTCCAGTCAAACCTAAGGCCATCACAAAACATTTGGTCCCCTGATATTACTCATCACTAACTATAATGCTTATTCGCCACACAGCATGCAGCATGCAAGCCAACATCCCTTTTTAAATTTGCCATTGTTCCTCCCCTTCTCTCTCAGGCGGTGTGATATAGCATTCAGTGATATAGTTTTGCAGACATAGTGAACACCTCACCAAAATAACCCAACTTCACCTCCAGGTGAAACTGGCAAGTGTCTTGCAGCCTATTTCATTGTGCAGGCTGCTTTGATTCTCTGAACAAGTCCTCACCAAAATTATCCACAAAAAAAGAAATCACACTTCAGTGGGATAAGTGAGTTGCAAGCAGAATAACTGATCCAATTTTACCTCCCACTCCCACCTTTCACAACTTGTAATGATTAGGAATAGCATCCATGGCTCTAGCTTAATACAGATAATTCAACTGTATTACATTAAGGGGGTCCAGTCTTATGCGGTACAGCGCTACTTAATAAAGTACGTTCAACTACTGAGGCAGAATGAGAGATGGAATTTATACTACTTGATCGTAAATAAAAATTTTGGGAATTGGAATACTTCTTTGCTTTACACATTCTGGTTTTTCCTGGTGATCTGCAGCGTTGGATCAGTCACATGGCAGTCAATGCAGTTTGCAAATGCTAGTGTACTCACTTAATAGCTTGACATCAGCCTTTTACTCAGGAAAAGTGATGAACTTGATTGAATAGTCTGTAAAATGTTGAAGCAATTTTGTGTTGTGCATTCATCAGTGCTCAAATTATACCAAGATCGTAAGTCCCAAATAAATTACTATCTTGGTGCCAATAGTCTGGCATTGCGCATCTGTCATTTTCTTCAAAATTATTTGAACTGTCAACAAATATGTCAGACCTCCCTACATGAGCAACATAAATCACAAAGTGCTGGACAAAAGACAGCAGCTAACTGAATCACAAGGAACAAGGCACTATCTTGTGCTGATGTCTCCAATGGGGAAAAAGGTTAAAGACCACAAGATATAGGAACAGAATTAGACCATTCGGCCCATCAGGTCTGCTCCACAATTCAGACCTGGCTGACATGTTTCTCAACCGCATTCTCTTGCCTTCTCCCTGTAACCCTTGATCCCTTTACCAATCAATGACTCGGCCTTCACAGCCTTTTGTGGCAATGAGTTCCCCAGATTCACCACCCTCTGGCTGAAGAAATGCCTCATCTCAGTTCCAAAGTGTCATCCCTTCACTCGAGGACACGCCCTTGGGTCCTAGTTTCTCGTATGAGTGGAAACATCTTCTCCACATCCACTCTATCCAGGCGTCTCAGTATTCTGTGAGATTCTCCCTCATCCTTCTATACTAAGACCCAGAGTTCTCAACTGCTCCTCATAAGACAAAACCTTCATCTTGGGATTATTCTTGCAAACCTCCTCAGGACCTCCCTCCAATACCAGCACTTCCTTCCTTGGATACAGGGCCCAAAACTGCTCACACTATTCCACAGTGGTGCTTGCAGTGGTTAACACTGCTGTCTCACAGTGCCAAGGGACCCAGTTTCAATTCCAGGCTCAGGCTGTCTTTGTGGAGGTTGCACATTCTCCCAGTGTTTGCGCGATTTCCTGCGGAGTTCCTCCAGGTGCTCCAGTTTCCTCCCATAGTCCAAAGACGTGCAGGTTTAGGTGGATTAGTCATGGGAAATGCTGGATTACAGGGACAGGATAGGGTGGGGTGGGTCTGTGTGGTCATAATGGGCTAAGTGACCTGCTTCCACACTGTAGGGATTCTATGACTTTTCAGCCACATAGAAGATAAAAAAGTGTTAAGTAGAATGAAAATAAACCACAACGTGATTAAATAGTGAATGATGCACTACACCAGAGCAACAGCGGCAGCCAGTAAAAGCTGCCATCGCTGGTTTTTTTCTCATTTTAACTGCCAACATTCAAATTTCCTCTTCCTCTCCCAGGGCAGCAAATCCAATGAGACAGCAACAGAATGGTTGTGATGTTAATTTGAAGACATACGCTGCAGGACGGAGATGTACACAGTTTAGGTCACAAGAATGTCATGGGTAAGGACTATCAATGTTGTGCCTAAAACACAGCTGCCACCCTGTAAACGCTGCTCAGTGGCACGTGACAGACGATGTTGATACTTGGAAAACATTGCACTAAATGTTATGGCCCTGTATTAAAGAAATTGTCAGAATTCTCAACACAATTCAGGAGCAGGATCCCCTTTGTAAATTCAGCTTCAGACTGATTCCTGGATCCGATATTGCCTGACCAGATGCAAAGCAAAAATCTCCTCTACTATAACCACTGATGCATCTTAGCTTTTGCTCACACCAGATTCCTCACCAACAGATTATAGAGTCATAGGGTCTGTTTCCGTCATGTAGGATTCTTCGGTCCAACCAGTCCACACCAACCATTTTCCCCAAACCAAACTAGTCCTGCTTGTCTTCGCATGGCCCATATCTCCTCAAACATTTCTTATTCATGTACTTATCCAAATGCCTTTTAAACATTATAACTGCACCTGCATCCACCACTTCCTCTGGCAGTTCATTCCACACACGAACCACCCTCTGTGTAAAAACGTTGCTGCTCACATCCTTGTTAAATTTTTCTCCTCTCACCTTAAATATATGCCCCCCTGATCTTGAAATCTGCCACTATAGGGAAAAGACACCTTATCATCTGTACACCTCATGATTTTAAAAACCTCTAAAAAGGTTGCAATATTTGTCCATTTCTCTCTTAAGCTATCCTCAGGGCCTCTACCCAACTGTGCTGCTGGGAGTTCCAGATTTTGACCCAGTGACAGTGAGGAGACTGCGATAGGATTCCAATCGGGATGGTATGTGGCTCTAAAAGAGGAACTTGCCATGATGGCATCCTCTTGTATATATTACCTAGAAGGACAAGGGCAGGTTAAGGGTAGTCTTGTGCTGTGCATCCTCAGCTTATCAGGAACTGGGGCAAGACTGTTTCACAGTAGACTGTTACTATGAGCCAACTGAAGAGTTATTTGTTAACAGTTTAAACTGGTTCGAAATGGAAATGGCTACATTTTTATTATCTTTTAAAAAAAAAAAGTTAGCCCAATGAGAATTTATGCATCTGGTCAATGGTTGTACAACCCTGTGAAATGTTGTTCCAGCAAAATCTGTGCATCACTAGATTACTTTCTGAAACTGAATGCATGGAGTTGACATGCAGCTCAAACCAACACAGTCCTTTCCCAGGAGCAAGAAATAAATGCGATCAACACAGGATTTTAAAAACACAGTTCACAGGCTTTACCTCTCATAAATCTCTGATCCCTCCTCCAGCCCTGGTAGCAGCCCTGTGATGAAAGCTTGCAGGCTTGGATTCAGGGACTTGTGTAATGGGAGGTAGTATTTCTCATATAGCCCAAGTAGTACAGGCTTCACAGACATAGCTGCATTGCCCAGCAAGGGAAAAAGGCCCGAGCTACAGGAGTAATCAAATAACAAAATAAAAACATAAATTAACTTAACAGTGATGAATAGCTCAGCCAAGTTCAACAATGAATAAACACAGAAAAGGAATAAATATCTGGTTCAAATACATTCCGTACGCGCAGTGCTCCTGTGTTCACAAAATAACATGCTGAGGAAAGCATTGTGTTTGTTTTTGTTCGTGGAATATCTGAACTGCCAGCTGGACCAGCCTTTATCAGCAAGCCTAATCATCCTGGACAGGATGGTAGCGAGTTATCTTTTTGAACCACTGCAGTCACTGGATTGTTACTTGGAACACCGACTGTGCTGCTGGGAGTTTCAGATTTTGACCCAGTGACAGTGAAGAGACTGCGATAGGATTCCAATCGGGATGGTACGTGGCTCTCAGAGGAATGTGTCATGATGGCATCCTCTTGTATAACTTACCTAGAAGGACAAGGGCAGCAGAGGTCATGGGTTTGGAAGATACTGTCCAAGGAGCCTTGTGCTGCTGCTGTGCATCTTGTAGATGATACACACTGCAACCAATGTGCATCATTGCAGGAGGGAATGAATGTTGGAGGTGGTGGATGGGGTCCCAATAAAGTGTACTGTTTTGTCTTGGCTGGTTTCAAACTGCACTCATCTAGTCCTGTGGAGTGTGTTTCATTATTGTCCTGACTTGTATCTTATAGATGATAAACAGACCTGGGGAGTCAGGACAGTTGCTCTCCGCAGGGCTCCTGGCCTTGACTTATTGTAGCTTATTCCACTCAGACCTAGTTCAGTATCTGGTCAATGGTAAGTCCCCCAGGATAGTGCTAGTGGGGAATTCGGAGACGTGAATGTTATCGAACATCAAAAAGGAATAAGGTTAGATACTTTGAAAAAAAATAAGAATCAGAAATTGCTGGAAAA